GGTCCTCTGGGAGAAGGTGAGATCTGGGTAAAGAGGGGAAGRAGGGGAGGGAGGGAGGGAGCCAGGCAGGTGTCTGGGGCAGAGCAGTCCAGGCAGTGGACGTGAGCAAGAGCCGACACCCTGAAGCCCTATCTGCCTGAGAGATAGATATGTATCTTTTTTTTTTTTTTTTTTTTTTGCAGTACCCAGGGTTCTCTATTACCAAGCTAGATCCCCAGTCCTGCTTCTTCTGAGACAGGAGCTCACTAAGTTGCCCAGGCTGGCCTCAAACTTGCGATCCTCCTGCCTCAGCCTCCTGAGTTGCTGGGATTTCCGGGGTGTGCCCAGCACCCAGCCACTTTTTGCTTTTTGATCTGGAATGCACATAGGAGGGGTGGCAGCTGCATTTCGCCAGCGTCCTCCCCAGTCTTCCCTTGTCTTGTGTCAGTTTCGTGTGTGTTACACTTTGTGTCCCTGGGGGTGTCTGAATTTGCTGCCTCTGTAAGGGAACCACTGAAGTGTCTTGTGTCAAGGAAAGAGGTGACCAGACTTTAGGAAGCTTATTTGAGGTCTCCTTGAATTTAGGAAACTGTCTTTCATTTTGATAATCCCAGACTCTAACAAGTGCTTGATACCCAAGAGATGCTCAGTGGACTGTTTCCAGTTGTATTTTTTAATGAATGAGATGAACATTGCAGTAAATGTTCTAACAGGTGACAGAGAGATGGGAGGTGAACCAACGAMGGCGGAGATGGGCTGTCCGTGCAGCCAGGGTGGGGGAAACGTGAGGCCCTGCCTCTGGGTAGAGTGCCTGCCCACAGCTCATGCTCCCCCAAGAGTRGAGTCTCCATGGCAGGTGTCGAGTGTCCAGGGTCACCCGCCATGCTTATTTTAAAGTGCAGATTCCTGGACCCAACWATAGACCTGAATTACAAAACCTTAATGGAGCTCAGGCGTTTGTATTTTAAATAAGCACCTTTTAAAGTTTGAGAATAGCTGGGCACCGTGGCACATGCCTGCAATCCCAGCTACTCAGGAGCCTGAGGCATCAGTTTGTAAGTTTGAGGCCCATCTGGGCAAATCAGTGAGACCCTGTCTCAAAATAAAATTGAAGAACAGGACTGAGGATATAGSTTGCCTAGCACGTGCAAGACCCCAGGATCAGTCCCCAGTGCTTGGGGGAGGGGGGAAGTCACAGAGCACGGTTTCCTGGGGCCACAGGTTGCTTTTGGCTTTGCTTCTGGCTGACCAGGAGCTGCTGAGCACAGTTGACAACCCCACCACACCCCTCACGTGGCGGTTCTACCTGCCCTGTACACAGCATGTGCACAGCCTTCCCCTGGGTCTCACATCACCTCCCAAGAGAGAGATTTTATTACCTCCATCTTTAACAAGAAGAAAGGGAAAATCAGAAGGGCTGGGTCAGCTTGCCAAGGCCACACACGTGCAGATGGGCCTGGAGGAGGGACCCAGCCATCCTGAGACGGCCCCTCCTCCCTGGCCAAGTTTTCCTTCCTGCTTTGGGTTAACTCACTTCAACCTGCTCTCAAATCATGGCCTCCCCAGAAACAGGGAACAATTAGAAGCTCATTTGCGCTGTAATTGGGTTTCCCTGCTGCAGTAGTCCCCAGTGGTTGCTAAGTTAGAGTCACTTGGGGGCTTGGGTAAAGCACACAGGCCCAGGCCCTAACTCCTTCAAAGGGCCTGGGCCTGGTATTTTCTGAGATCTCCAGGTGATGCTCATACCCTTCAAGCTTGAGAGCCCAGGCTTCAGGACGTGGTTCCTTGCTAAGCCATTTCTCTGTAATGGTGCAAAGAAAGGCATTTGAGGTAATAAGGATTCCCTGGGGAGACGCCCAGGAAAGGATGGATCTTATTATTACCCATGAAACCACCTTGTGCTTAAAAGCAGAGCTTTCAGGGCAGAACTTGAGGCAAGCTTAGTGAGAGGAGGGCYGCGCCGGGTCTCAGCCCTGACCTGTAAGGACACTTTTCATCCCGAGGAAGGAGTTTAGGTTGGTGAAGGTTGGGTGAACACAGACTAGGTAAGTGTGGGTGGTGGGTGGTGCAGGCCTTGGGGTGGGCAGTGAGTGAGGAGCTTTGCACCAAGTTGTGCCTGGGGCTCAGGGGCCCAGGCATCCCAAAAGGGAGGGCCAAGCACTGAGGGCCTGCACACTCTTCCCAGAAGAGGCCTCTGAGCGGATGGCCTGAAGGGCACACTGGGGTCTCGGCAGCTGACTGAGGTGGCCTACAGCTCCCCCATCAAAYGGGCCCCTTTTGTGTGCTTCACTTCATTCTCCTGAGCCTCTGGTTTCTCACCTATAAAGTGAGGCTAACAGTGGTAGCTTCTTCAAAGAGCCATTTTGGAAATCAGGTGATGCCTACGAGGGTCCTAGACCAGAGTCACGCGCCCGCACAGTAAGGAACAGGGGGGCAGCCCTTTCCTACCCGTTTTGACATGTTCCCAGCTTCTACAGTTCAAGGTCGGTCCCTCAGCRCTTGTCAGGGGCAGTTGGCAGCAGCTGATCTTATCTGAGGCATTGCTGGTAGCTGCCATTGGGGTCCCTGAGTGACAACCCGGAGGCAGGCGATGGGAAGCCRAGGAACACTGAAACCAAGGACTAGCCAAGAAGACTGGAGGAAAGGGTTGTGYGCCCCAGTGAGAGGCAATTAGGGCTGAATCTTAGGGGCACGTTGCCTTGTGGAACAGCGTCATTGGTGATGGATTTTAATTAGTGCATCATGATTCACATAGTTGGGGGATTCATCTTGACATTCATAAATACATATAATTTGCTCCATTCTGGTCTCCAGTGCTACCCCCCGACACACACACACACTGTTGGTGTTCCTGTTAACTGATTTTGTTTAATTGGTACATTGGTACCTGAAAGTGGAATTCACTGTGACAGTCATGCCTGCACCTGACGCTGTTCTATCAATTTCTTCCTGTAGCTCCTCCCCTTTCCGTCCCTCCTCCAGGCCCTCCGTCCCCTTTCCCTACACCGCTCTTCTCCCTTCGATTTTCATGAAATCCACCTCTTAAAAAAAATGCCTCATTTCTCCTCTAGCCTCTGCTTCTGCTGGAGGAGAAATAGAACGTCCGACCCTTGACCTCTGACTCTGGCTTTCCCTTTTCCTGTACCAAAGGCAAGTTTGGGCAGAGGGCYGACCTCGAGGCTTCCTCCTGGTCTTGCCGCTGCTCGCTTCTTTCCAGAAAACACATTTTTCAGGAAAATCATTCCTTCCCGTTGCCTGCTGTGACCCCCATTTTCTGCTCTGTCTTCTGTTTGAGAAGTCCTCTAACTGTCCACAGAGCTGCCGTCTCTGATTTTCTTAGGTGACGCGGGATGGAGACCCTTGATGTGTGAGTCTAGGCCTGGGTGAAGGTGACGAACTCGTCCCTGTTGTGAGGGCCGCCGCTRCCATCTTGGCCTTCCTACTAGCTCTCCTCAGGCTCCGCAGAGATGATTAATGCTGCCTGTGGAAAGTTMAGGGAATTCCCTGAAGCGCCTCTCCATGCTGTCCAGGAGTCCCCAAGGACGGGTGCCTTACCCAGAGCTGAGGGCCCCACTGAGGTACCCTCTTCCTTGTGGGAGAGTGAGTTCAGACAAGCTAGAAAGTTCTGCTTGTGGAATAAAGGGTTACTCTAGGTGTAGACACCCAGTAGTTCAAAGACTTTCTCAATAGTGTGTGATCCCCTGGCTGGTGAACAACGGTCTTTGTACCACTGTTGGTGAGGGTTGCACCATGAGCMTRGGCACGGCCTTGTCCTGTGGCTTCYGCAGCCCTTGCTCCATCGGCCATGAGCCAGGTCTTAGTTCTTGGCTCCTGTCTTCACCAACTGCGGCTGGGCTTCTCCTGCTCAGTAGCTGGGTCTGTCGGCTGTGTGCCAGGCACTGTGCTAAGGCTGTGAYGGTGATGGCTGGTCTGGGCATACACTGGACAAGTATGATATTAAGGGTCATGGAGGAAAAATAGAGRTTGCCATGGGAACATCTCAAGCAGACGACATGGTTTGGAGAGGCTGGGAGGAGCATTTAGTATCTGAAGTGCTGGTGCCATAAATCTGGAGAAGCAGCAATAAGGCTGTATTTCATGGGAGGGATGTTCRTGGAAAAAGAACTTGAAATTGTAGCACTTAGTGGAAGCGGCGTAAGTCTCGATTTTGGGAAATGGGTCTTGTTATCTGGTGATATGGACATTGTCTGAAAGAWTTAGAGCTGTTTGCCTCAAGTTGCCTTACCTTCTAGATTCTTGYGATCTAATTTATTTTGATTCTTTAAGGCTTTAAGAAGATCACCTGTCTTTTTTCATGTTTTCAGAAATAATGTTGATTTGAACAGTCCGATATTCTCCATGTGTGGTCTTGGGAACTTGGTCGAGATGAGGACTCCCGGGTCTGGCCCCAGACATACTGAACCAAAGTCCAGTGGTTTGGCTCCACCCCCTGTGGCCTAACAAGCCCTCCAGGTGACTCTGGTGGACTCGGAGTTTGAGAAGCATCTTCTCAGGCTCTGGTCACTAGTGATGTGAGCCTAAGGCAGCTTCCTAGCAAGTAGGTTGAAGTCATTAACAGGAAGCCATGTGAGATACGATGGAAGGACTGGGTACCTGGTCTGGCAAACTTGGGGGAAACCAGTAAAGAGAAGGGCTGAATTTCCACAGCAGAATCTGGTCTTGCTATTTAGAACCTGATAAAGCAGGCTCTGGTTGAAGCACAGGATGGAAAACCGAGAGCACCTGTTCAGTCCCCTTCCTCACTGGGCCCTGAGGCTCTTTCCCAGACCTCCTTCTAATGCCACTTGATTGAGGTGCACTAGTGTCTGTGCTTGGTCACTTGGGCATCGCCCTTACATGAGTAGGTCATTTCCCGAACCACTCTGAACCTGAAACGGAGGCAGAGCTCTGGAAAGATCCAGTGATGAGCTTGAGATCAAGAAGTTCTGACCCTATACCCCTGCCTGGACCCGAGGCAGGGAGAATCTCCTTGGTGTCGGTGCATGTTCTCTTTCTCGTAGGTTCCAGTCAGTCTTCTGAGGACAATAAAATTTCCTGAAGTATGAGTAACCCATTGGATGCTGACCCCACACCTTGTAACCAGAAGAGTGGCATGGACTTCCGAGACAGGGGCATCTATGCTCAGCTGTTGGAGTTGATGCTCAACTTGCAGCAGACCATAGGGGATCACTTCGTGAAGCTGACAACCAGGCAAAGGCAGGCCCAGTCACYGGAAGAAGCAAATCGCATTCAAGTTGTCCGTGAGCAGGAGGATGTCATAAACGATACTGTGTGCCAGGTGATCAGCCTCCTGTGGACTGAGGCTGCAGCGGACCAGAGGCTCCACGAGTCTCTCCCTTCCCTGACCTCTCCAGAGGTTTGGAAGAAGTCCCCATCACCTAGGCAACCTGACCAGCCAGTTTGGCAAAGTAGTTTTCAACCTTCGTTCGTCAGTCACGTCCTGTCCAACCGCGGGGTGGACATCTCTGRCTTTTACCAGTCACACTTCCAGGACTATGATGCCTACCTGCAAGACAAATACCAYGAGGAGAAGAACCCCTTGGTAAGAACAGGGGACAGCTTGGAGGCCCCATCCCTGGGATGTACTGAGTCCTGTGCCAAATGCTGTCTGCCATCTTGCCTTTCACACCCGATGAGCCCTGGTCGTCTCCTTCCAGCAAGGCTGATAAGGTGGCATGGCCCAGGGAGCTGGAGAATGGGACCTGGGTTTCTACCCCCACCACCTTTCCCTAAGTCCCAACTCGTAACCCCTAGGAGTCAGTCCCTCGGGTCACTGCGGRGAGCCACGCTGGCCTGTGGAATGTGGTGTGTGGTGGCTGTGGTCGGCCAGCAGGGAAACAAACGTGAATGCTTTGAGAGCCCTAGGGGGCCCCGGTTCAGGTGGTCTGGGRAAGGGTCTTAAAGGCCGACCCAGCCAGCCCTGTTGGGTCCCTTCCAGGAAGGAGCAGCAGGGTCCATAAAAGCTTCCCAGAGGGAGGGCTTGGAAGAAGGCCCCTGTGGTCCAAGAGGGACAGTGAGTGCCATGGCAGGAAGTGCAGACAGCAGTGGGCGGGAGCTGTTAAGATGCTGCTCTATGGGTGGAACAAGGGGACAAAAGTCTCCAAYAAGGAGAGCCAACAGCTCTTCAGCTAAAGGTGGAGGCCAGTCCTAGCCACGCATCCCCTGTCTGTCCCCATCTCGGGGAAGTGTGGCCAAAGGCCATCTGTTTCCCAAGGGGTTCGGTGGGCCRTCTCTCTTGCTCTGTGAAGGGCCACATCTCCTGGAGACGTCCTGACCTGTAAGAGCAGAGATGGAGACCGGTCAGGGTCCAGGTCAGGCAGGTGGCGCTCTGCCCATCACACGAGGTCACATGGCTGGTTGACTGTTCCACTTTTCTCATCTTCACTCTTTTTGCTCACTGAAGACCCTCTTCTCAGAAGTTAAGGCTGCTCACTGTGAAGCACTGAGTCCAGCACCCGGCACTTGATAACCCAGTGACTGGTAGATGGGACACAATACAGCTACCATTATCTTTGTGGCTCTAAAGGAGGAAATTGGCAGGCTGTAAGATTTTGGTCCTTGGAAAGGTCTAAATGCTTAAAGTTGTCAAACATGGACTGAGTTGCCTCAGGGGGCAGCGAGACTTCCTTTGAGCTCACCTGAGAGTATTTACTGGCGTGTCTGCAGGGTTACCAGAGGCTGATCTCAGGTTCTTCCACCTCCAGGGCTTTCTTAACCTTGGTGTCAGTGAGAACAAGCTCTGCGTGGATCTGATAACCGAAAGGGTAAGTCGAGTTCTGAGCTGTGCTGAGACTCGCCCCTTCAAGTCTTCTAGCATGTTCCTCGGCCTCATGGGGGAGATGAGTAGAACACGGGGAAAGGCAGTGGACGGAGAGTTTCTAGAACAGCACCCTAACCTCCGGGCCTTGCTGGCGGTGGCCAGGGGTATTCTCTGGTAGGCTGCCAAGGAAGCTTTGGGGTGGGGAGGTTGTCGCCGACTTCCCAATGGGACATTTCTGTGCATAATCTGACAAGATGGGGCGTCTGTTCACGAAGGAGTGGGCAGCGTTAGTGCCACGCCTCTTCTGGGAGGCCATGTAAGTGGACAGCAGACACTTGCATGCAGACTGGGAGTGGGCCGAGGTCTCCTGGGCTACCCTGTTCAGCTGCTTCAAGCTCCGTTTGTCAACAGTTGTGTCAGAATGACATGAACTGCATTGAGGAGGACCTGCTGCAGTACTCCGACTGGAGAGGGCACCCACTGTAAGTGACCTGCACCCCCAGGATCCTGGCCCACGGATCTTCACCCAGGGAGGGATTTGACATGCCCTATTCTTGTCTTTCTGAGTAACAACTTCCAGGAAATGCCTGCAGAGGAACCTCGGCAGGAGGCAGCCTGAGGTGCCCTAGCCTCSCCTCCAACTCCAAACCCCGGCTTTCACGGACTCCCCGTCACCTGGGCTGGGGTGGGTGATGTCCTTGGTCCAGAAACCTATAGGACGAGGTTGGACTAGGTGGCRAAGATCTCTTTGAAGTCGGACACTGGGTCCTTTGAAAAAGTCTGACACCTAGACCCCGAGTGAGGAAGGTGTCTCTGGGTCTGTCCACAGCCTGCGGGAGGAAGTCGCTCGGTTCCTGACCTATTACTGCAGGGCGCCCACTCGCCTGGATCCAGAAAATGTGAGTCAGCCTGGGGAGGGCTCTAATCCTGGGGAACCTCTGTATTAACTGGGGAATACGGGGAGAGCCAGTGGAGACCTCCGGGCCGAGGCAGAGTAGAGGCCAGCGGGTCCCAGCTCAGGAGGCGCCTGGTGCCTGTCCCCTTCAGAGGGCGGGAGATGGCACGGCCACATCTTCACCTTCTTCCATGGGTGCTGCTCTTCTCCCCCACCCGGTGTGTTGTCCTCAGGTGGTTGTTTTAAATGGCTGCTGCTCCATCTTCTCTGCCCTGCTCATGGTTCTCGGCGATCCAGGTGGTAAGTCGGCGGCTCGGCTCTCCCTCTCGGTGAAATGTTGGCACATGGGCAGGAAAAGCCAGGCACTGGGGCGKGGGAGGAAGAGCATCCTGATACGAGGCCCTTCCCTCAAAGAGCTGGCCCGTCTACACTGGCTGCTATTGTTTCTGGGGAAGCGAGGGATGGAGAGTCCTCATTTACTATGAAAAAAAGACATGTCAGGTCTCAAGGAGGGACACCCAGGAATGTTGACAATGGCTGCCGAATCATTATGTTCCTAGCTGGGCTCAARAGTAATACAGGGAGCCTTGGTCACTGGCTTGGGCTTTATAGATCCCCTGTTTCTCAAAAAATGCGAATTATTTCTGGATCACATAAAGCTGAGAGTTCTGTCCTCAATCTCTCTTTAGCTTTGCCCAAGCAAGAGGCTCAGGTATTAAAGAGATCCGGTTACATGGGAGGAAGTGGCCAAGATGAAAGTCTGGGGCCTTGGTTAGCTCATCAGTGAGGCCAAATGGGTAGGAAGAAAAGAACATAGGAGGTCACCAGGTCCAAATGACAGGAGCCCTTCATGGGCATGGACCTTGGCCTCTAGTGTTTGGCTGAAGCACACAAGACTTTCCTGATGACCAGTGTTCCTTCSACTAGCCAGCCCAGCATGATCCAGGCCCCCGATTCTGAGCCATTCACAACGGTGACCCTTCCTCTTCTCCTTGTCTACTTCACCATCAAAGGGAAACTAGACTTTTCTTCTCCACATTATGCCTATAAAAATGGATAAATTTTGCCCGGTGTAGTGGCGCAAGCTTGTAATCCCAGGTACTTGGGGGGCTGAGGCAAGAGGATTGCGAGTTCAAAGCCAGCCTCAGTAAAAGRGGCACTAAGCAACTCAGGGTCTCACTATCTCTAAATAAAATACAAAATAGGACTGAGGATGGGGCGCATGGTTAAGCACTCTTGGGTTTAATCCCCAGTATCAAAAAAAAATTTTTTTTTATGAAACCTGAGCCCGAGAACATCAATCCCCTGATAGAAGGGATTGCTGTCATTCTGGGGGGCCTGGAAGGTTCTGACRGACAGAGCCTCGACTGATAGCTGTGTCTTTCTGTGCTTCCAGAGACCTTTCTGGTCCCTACTCCCTTCTATGGTGGCTTCACCTTTGTCTCCCACCTGTATGCAAAAGTTGAGCTCTTTCCCGTCCACCTGCAAAGTGAGGTCAGAATGGGCCCTTCACTGTTCAGCCCACCTTGGCAAGGGATAGTTCTGGGGCACTTGGGGARTATAGGGGACCTTATTCTGTCCCCATGTATGTGATGGGGGGGAGGGTTGGAGAAATTGGGGTGATGACATGCTGGGCTGGTGCCCTGGTGGATGGGGATGCAGGATCCAGATCCAGATGCTTTTCCATGGGCATTTCTCACTAGTGGCTCTCTTCCAGATAACTGAAGAGAACTYGGAGCCTTTCCAGCTCACCGTGGACAAGTTGGAGAAAGCCCTGCTTGAAGCTAGGCAGAAGGTAAGGAAGGAATCATATTTTCAGGGGGGCCACTGCTTGGCCTTRCAAAGAGTTGAGTCCCTGAGACGGATACAACCTGCTCACCAAGACCTGAAGTTAGAAGAGGCTGCCAGTGATCAGGGGCAGGTCCCCATAAGAGCTGAGAGTCCTGCTCACGGCTGCTTCCTCCAGCTCAGCAGGCAGTTTGGTAATTGCTGCTTCAAGATCCTATCTCGGCCTTATTAGGTGTCCTATGTTGAATGTCCTGATCTGTTAGATTTTTTCTCACTGTGACAAGATATCTGAGATAACCTAAAGGAGGCAGGATTTATTTTGTCTCAGTTTCGCTCCATGATCACTTGTCCCCACTGTCTTTGGCCCTGTGGCGAGGCAGAACATCATGGCCRGAGTGTATGGCAGAGGAAATCTGTTCACCTCATGGTGACCAGGAAGTGAAGAGAGCTAGAAGGGAGCCAGGGTATGAACATCACCTTTCAGGGCACACCAACAACTAACTTCCTTCCACTTGGCCACACTCCCTGAAGGTCCCACCACCTTCCCAGAGCCCCTCAGGCTGGCCACCAAGCCTTTAGAATGGGCTTCAAGGGACATTAAAGATCAAACTAAGATGTCCAGGAAGGATCCTTGGCAGAATTTGGAGTAGCTATAAAGGACTTGCATTCCCTTTGTTGTGGTTTGGTCCTTTTTAGGGAAAAAAGGTCAGAGGCCTTGTGCTCACCAACCCCCAGAATCCTCTGGGTGTCGTCTACTCCCAAGACTCACTGATGGAATATCTGGAATTTGCCAAAAGGTAACCCGAGTGTTTATTTTGTGTGCACTTCACTTTACAAAAGGTATGAGTTCTATCCCTCGAGATTAGATGGTGTCCCTGGAAAGAGTTCCTGTCACCTGTAGTCAGGAAGGCAGAACCAGAGGTCATCTGCCTAAACGTTCCTGGTGCACATTGTTCTTTGCAGAGTTATGTACCATGAGCAATGCATGTAACTCTGGAGATTGAATTGGAGGCTGAGGTGCCTGCATGCTTACCATTCCCAACATTGTTGTCCTTTCCTTTCTGGASTTTTCCCTTGTAGACATCTATGAAGTAGTCATAATGTCTTTTTGTGGCATTTCTACTTATTACAGCAGAAGCATCTGTTTCCCCAACTACTTGGACTGAGGTTCCAAGGAGGACGCTCTCGGTCCTTGTGAGACGAGGCTGGATTTCTGTAGAACTTTCACGCCCCCTCCTAAGAACACACCAACATCTGTTCTCTCCAGACTTCTGAAATAGCTCTGAGTTAAGGCGGATAATCTTTTGTTTTCTAGAAGATGCGGACTTATTCAAACTTGAGAACTAACTGAGGCCAATTAGTGGCAGGGCATAGGGACAGGAAAAATACAAGAGTTGTGGGCAGCAACCCCACAGAGCTGAGTGTCAATACCAGATCTTGAACCTGCTATTTGGAGGATTAACTTTACATTTTTAGACCTTATTTCCTTTTCCTCTGTGAAATGGGCATGACGGCATGCTGTCAGGGATTGCTGGGACAGCAGATGGGTGGTGCACAGGTGCTCACAGCCCACTAGTCCACGACTGGATTCAGACCCCGGCTGACAACACCTGGCTGCACTAGAGCAAAGACTCTGGGACAGTTTCAGTCCGTGGTCACTTGTCCCCACGATCTTTGGCAAGGCCAAAGACGGTGATCTCTGCTTAATGGTTGACGGGTTAGATAAGATGTTMTCATGTTTCTTTTTTGTTTTATTCCCTCTCAGTATCCCTAAGCCAGGTGTGAGGTCTCTTCTGGTTTTTCAAGACCTTTCTTTGTCTTACTGTGCCCCCTGGGAGGCTGGGATGGGCTCCTGGGGTGATGGGACCGTCTGATCTGTATCCAGAGAAGGACATCAATGAAAATGCATTAAAATCACAGTGAGAAGCTAGATCTTGTTTCCCCCTCTTTCACCCAACTATAGGCATCATCTACATGTGATCATAGATGAAATTTACATGCTGTCTGTGTTTGATGAATCCATCAAGTTCCACAGTGTTCTGAGCATAGAATGGTAAGTTGGTCTCAGATGAGGTTAGGGATGAGGTGCCTGCTTTTCAGGGTGAGTTTGAGATATCTGCTTACCTGGCTATGCCCTAAGAGGTGGGCAACAGAGGTGGTAAACATGACCAAAGTGTCATCTTCCCTCCCAAGTATCTTCTAGTTTAAATGTCGATTCATATATCTGCTGTCTTGACCTTTGATGTCCTTTCTACCTTGGCTTCAAGTTAAAGTGCCTCAGAAGGTTGGCGCAGGCAAAAATAGACCAAGAACAGAAATTTCTTAGGGGTGGTATTTGGCCCCGGGGATAGGATTCCAACAAAGCAAGGGGAGGGCATGCCAGTGGAAGGAACAGCTTCACCAAAAGTGGGACAAGAAGAAATACAGGCCAACGTGTGCTAGAAATGGTGGGCAGCAAACATCTGGAGAGCCAAGCCAGAATGTGGCCGTGGCCCAGTTGTGGGAGAGTCAGCCAGGCAAGGGTCTGGACTTCACTCAGTGGGCCCTCGGGGGCTGTTCCATCTGGTTCTTCATGGAGACCTATGTTCCTGGCTTAACTGGGCCAACTGTTCCTGGAACTGTGGGCCCCTTAGGCCTTGTTATCTAGAAAGGGCCTTAAGTCGACTGTCCCCTTTCCACTCATAGACACTCAAGTCGCCATCCTCCAGATGGAAATAGATTTTGACTTTATTTTTTTCCCTTTTCTTCTCTAGTTTGCCTGACCCTGACAGGACCCATGTGATCTGGGGTACCAGCAAGGTGAGCCCCAGCTGTGTCCTTGGGTCTGGAAGGAGGGGGATCCAGGAATAGAAAGCGAACAAACCCGCTGTTCCTTCCCCTCCTTCTCTGCCTCTAGGATTTTGGCATCTCTGGTTTCCGCTTCGGTGCTCTGTACACCCACAACAAAGAGGTGGCCTCTGCCGTGAGCATCTTTGGCTACCTCCATGGTATCTCTGGCATCACCCAGTACAAGCTGCGTCGACTGCTCCAAGACAGAGGTACCAAGCTCCACCCCAGGGCAGCATCTTGGCTGGACCTCGTGGCCATGGGGAATTCTGGGTTTTCTTGGGCCTCTGACATGCCCTCTGCACACCTAGACCCGGCTCGTTGTCTCAGGTTTACCCCTAGCTCAGTATTTATGTGAACGTCTATGATCCCGTCCCAGGGCCCTGCTTATTTCAGGCAAAGATTATAAAGAAACCTCTCGACTCTTCCAATACAGCTAAATCTTGTTCTCCAAGGTAGCCAAAGGAGAATAGCCATGTGGGTAAATTGGTGTGCTTAGATCTGGGCTCCCAGATTTACTTTTCCCTGGATCCCAAGAGAGTGCCTCAGAGGAGCATTCCTCTTTAATACCTTGGCCCAAGATTAGAAGAGACCCCCCCCTTTTTAAATTGCCTGTAATAAAACAGATGCCAGGCTGGAAGATTTAAATTAATACCTGCATAAAAATAAATAAAATAAAGGTATTTTTTAAAAGGARGGAGGCTGAGGCTGTGGCTCAGTGGTAGAATGCTTGCCTGGCATTATATCCAGAGAAGGACATCAATGAAAATGAGTTAGAATTACAGTGAGAAGCGATGTGCGAGGCCCTAGGTTTGATCCTCGGCACCTCCTAAAAATAAAATGAAGGTATCAAAAAATGAACACCTGCCATATGATGAACCAAACTCATGCCATTAGATTAGTAGGTTTAGAGAAAAATTTTGTGTTCAGCTTTGGATGGGGAAATGGAGAAATCCAACTGAATGCTTCCTTACATGGAATCAGGATTTTTTGACAATTGGCCAGACCAGATCCCAGCCCCTTGAACACCATTTCTCAACCTAGGATGTAGGAGACCTTGAAGCTTAAATACTGATGTACGAGCTACACCCCCAAACTGTGCTGATTTAGTTACCGAGTGGATAACCTAGGCATTGGGGCTTCTCAAAGCTCTCCAAGTGGCTCTTTTTGCTGTCAATGCTGAGAATAACTAGGCTAAAAGCAAACCTGAGCCAATCTAGGCTCCTCTCGGCCCATTGGGTGAGGTCCAAGGCAGGAGGCAGGGGAAGTTTCGAGTTCCTGCTGACTTGCTCGCTGAGGACAGCAGCGTCAACGCCTTCATAGAAGACCCTGGCGTACCTCAGGGGTGTAAACCCAAGGGAGCATTCCTACTGGACAGTGAGAGGCCCAGAGTGTCCTCCAGGGCCCTTGGTAAGAGATGGGTGCATTGGATGTGGACACCATCAGCTCAAATATCAGATCACTCATCATGAATAGAAATCGTTTTCAGGAAGCCCAGGCAAAGAATATTCGGGAAGCAACCCTGGGCAGAGGTCTGCATAAGGTCTGTGCCCGCGCTCTCCCTCCTCCCCTCCAGAGTGGATTGACACAGTGTACCTGCCTGCTAATCACTCCCGGCTCCGGACAGCTCACAAGTACGTCACCAAGAAGCTGAGGGCCTTGAAGATTCCCTTTGTCAATCATGGCTGTGGCCTGTACGTCTGGGTCAACTTGCAGTCGGTGAGCTCTGGGGGTGAGGATGGGTGTTCTCGGGCAGACCTGCCAGGTGGATCTTGGGCTCAGCTCCGACCCTCTGCCTTTGCTAGTACCTGAAACCGTGCACATTTGCGGAAGAACGGGCACTCCATCGCCGCTTCCTGGACAACAAGCTGATGCTCTCCCGCGGCAAATCCTACATGTGTAGGGAGCCGGGCTGGTTCCGCATCATCTTTGCAGAAAAYCACGTTCCACTCAAACTGGGTGAGTGGTGGGGACCTCCCAGGCCTGGAATCCTTTAAAGATGCCTCAGCAACTGTTCTCACTCAATTCCTGAATCTTCCTCTTCTATTTTTATTTTTCCCTTTGCAGCCTCTAGCTTTAGGCCTTCTGCTTTCACTGTCATTTTACATTATGCTCCTTTGTAAACAGGAAGTGATGGGCACCTTGAGCATCAGTCTRTTCATTCATTACACCTTCTGGGTACCTGCCATTGGGCAAGGCACTGAGACCATAAGCTAGTATGAAGTGGTACCCTGTCCTTGTGGAGCTGGTGGCCCAGGAAAGATGGGTGACTGTGGGAGTCTCTGYAGGTTATTCCATGGGGAATGTGACATCTGAACAATTGTGATATCCCACGGCATGCCAGGCATGGTTCCACCTGCTAGGAATATAGCAGAGTCATTCATTTCCATGTGGAAATGTCTTCTGGTCTAGTGTGGAAAACAGACTGAAGAGTTAAGAAGCAGGTAGGCCCCAGGGTACAGAGTTTGAWAAGAGACCCTGAATGCCTGGCAGGCTAATGATATGACAATGMAGTTCCCAAAGAAACATCAGAACTGGGCCTGGTGGCGTACCTGTAATTTCAGCAGCTCAGGAGGCTGAGGCAGGAGGGTTGCGAGTGAAAAACCAGCCTCRGCAAAAGCGAGGCACTAGGCAACTCRGTGAGACCCCATCTCTAAATAATTTTATTACTAAAATAGGGCTGGGGATGTGGCTCACTKGTTGAGTACCCCTGAGTTCAGTCTCTGGTTCCACCCGTAACAGAGAACCACCAGAGGTATAACAGGTTGCCTGGGAATCTAGCCCAAAGGAAGGAGGGCTGAAGTTTGACGTGCCTACATAAGAGGCGCTGATGACCTGGGGGCATCTGGGTCCCACCTGAAAACCTATGATATCATTTCTCTCTGTCCCCATGTGGACCCTCTAGCCATGCATCGGTTCAAACAGGCGCTAGAGGAACACAATTACGACTGGATGGTGAAGGAGCTGGAGGATGCAATGAAGGAGTAGATCGCCTGCCTTGTGGCCAGGCACACGCTGGCTCAGCCCCGATGTYGGCCTCTGGTCCAGGAGCTGACGAYTGACCACAAAACAGACATTTCCTGGAGGAAACGTCTCATCTGACCCAGTCGCCCCTCTAAGCTAAGCATCTGCCATCTTTGGCTGTTTTGCGTCTCAGTCTTTACTGGCCCTTGTGTATACAAAATGGTGTTTTTATCGGGGTTAGGGTGGGAGGATCTACAGGTACCTGAAGGGATCTGTAAGGGATCTCTTGGGGTTTCTATTTAGATGGTTTTATTTTTATAGTCAATACCTAATAAATTCTATATCCTGTTTAAATTCCATGCCTGTTTTATTTTTTGTTCACATTCTTTATAATCGCCTTTGGGAATGAGATTTTTCCTGTCCTAGGGCAGGTTGTAGGTGAAAAATACTGTCTGGAGCAGACCAGAAAACGAGGAAAGAAGCGTCCCTTGACTGGTGGAGCACTAAGTGTCAGAYGCAGTGTCTTGAGGATCCTTACGCGATCCCGTCTGCCTTCACGGGAGCTGCTAAGTGGTGTGGTGGGGGGGGGAGGACTGTGGGTATTTCTACTTCCAAATGCCAGAGTTCTTACCGAGTTTGCCTTTCCAAAAAGCATTTTAACGCCAATCTCTGGGTCCCACACGTGTTCAGGCTGGAGTACAGCTGCTTCGGCTGGGGTCTGTGATTGTTGGGTCTGGAGTGTGGAGTTTCTCTGTGACCTCCTGGATGTCACCATGCCTGAAGTACCAAAGGGAGGAAATACAGGACAGGAAAGAAGTCATCCATCCAAGTAGTAGAAAATCGGCTCAGATTATGAGAAAGGCCCACAAACAAGGAAAAAAAAAATTAAAGAATGAAAAGGCCTTGCATCTCCATCTTATTGGTGGAAAAACTGCAGCGGTTTCAAAATCATCTGGATCCCCCCAAATTGGGGCGTTCAAACAAAGATGCTTGTGAATTAGTTGAAAGGTACTTAAATAGGTTTAGCAGTGAGCTGGAGCAGATGGAATTACACGCCAGCATCAGGGACAGGYGGGGAAGGTGGCACTTTTCCGTTATCAAGCAGCCAATGGAGCACAGTGACCGCAGTCTGGAGGATGTGGCCTTGAGRTGCCAGGCATCTTAAATGCAAAGGATCTGAAAAGTTTTAGGGAATGGGATTTTGATCGGAAGAAACTGCCAAACATTAAAACAAAACTCTGTGCTAATGATGCAGTTCCTAAGAAAGGCAAGAGGGAAAGTATTTTAACTGTAGACAAAAAAATTTAGGGGACTCGGAACTAAAAGGTGAATCAAATGACTCAGCCAAAGAAATGACCCCCCAATAGCCTGATTGTCTTAAGTTGAAAATAATTTGAGAGCTTCATGTCATAATTCATGTCATAAATAATTAGACATAAGAATTTGCTATTTAAGTCATCTTCTTACATAATAGCACCATTTGTAGTTTAAAAAATGGTGTTATGATTTTTATTTAGAAATGAAGTTTGCTTTTTATTTACATTAAGTTGCTAAAATAGAAGTTGTATTAGTCTGTTTTCAGTTACTATAATGAAATACCCAAGGCTAGGTTATTAAGATGTTTATTTAGCTCAAAGTTTTGGAAACTGAAAGTCCACCAGAACTTAGTTCTGGCTCTGGCAAGGGCCTCAGGCTGTAGCACTTCCTAGTGGATGACATCACAATCCATGCAGGAAGGTGTGACAGGGTGGTGAGACTGGACACCAGAGGGTGGGGAAGGGCCAGTAATGACCTCTCACTAGGCCGCCTCTCAAAGGTACCACTACCCCTTAACATCGCCACAGTAGGCACCAGGCTTCCAGTACATGAGCTCTTGAGGGACACATACCAGAAGTGGTCATTTAAAGACATTTAATCTTAACTTGGTGCAGAGGAAAAGGAATATGTGTGAGGACAAAACATGTTTTGAAATATTTTTATGTGGATTTAGGATTGCCTAATCTCCTAGGGTGAATGGACAGTAACCTGTTTTCTAAGAGGTTCCTGTGTACATTTCTTAAATTCTGATAATAGCAACATTGTGTTAAATTGATTCCTTTCTTCAGCATTAAACCTAATTCCTTTCCTTATAAAACAGGGAAGAATTTGATAGTGAATTCATATTTACCAATAGATTGTGCATGATCATTGATTTTTTTTTTTCCTGAGCCAGAGGTAAAGGTTAGAAACAGAAGCAGTCTGTCTCTATGGTTAGGTTGAACCCCACATTTAACCTGTTATCTTTTGACAAAGAGAATTTCAGGCTTGTTCCTTTTGATTACGTTTTGTTTTCTACTTTCTCATTGTGAAAAGTAATAAGTTTTTAAAAGGTTAAATTGACATATAACAGTATCATGAAAAACATGGATGTATTTGAATTTTGCTATTCACAGAAATTGTTAATAAGCACAGTATCTTTGAGTTTGTTTTTTAAAAGATGTGATATTAAATACATTCATTTTCAAGGAAAGGAAAATACATTCATTTTTTCAAGGAAAGGAAAACATTAATGAATGGAGTTACTTGATATCAACTGTCAGCAGTTTATATTAAGTGTTATGACTTTTTTACTCCTGAAAATTAAAAACAAAATTTAATTTAAAAATGTGGAAAAAAAACCAAAACAAATCTCTGGTGACAATCTTGGTATCTTAGTCTGTCAGGCTGCTATAAAAAAATACCAGAAACCAGATGGCTTATAAATCAATAAAGATTAATTTCTCGTAGTTCTGAAGGCTGGCAAGTCCAAGATCGAGGATATAGCAGATATAGTATCTGTTGAGGACCCATATTTTTATAACTTCATGTGGCAGAAAGGGTGAGGGGTCTCCCTTTGCCTTCAAGACATGATCACTTACCAACGGCCCCACCTCCTATCATCATCTTGGGGTGAGGATTTCAACATGAATTTCTAGGGAAGATATTCAATCTCTAGCACCTAGGGTCTTCCATTTCCATCCCTAAACTTTTCAGAAATTCAATTCACACCCCACCTCTGAGTTCTCTGCAAAGCCCTGTGTACCTGAGTACTGAGGCTGGGGAGTGGCCGAGCAGGGGCTACTACTATTTTAAAGCTAATGAAAATGCTTTCAGTACCAACTGATGGCTTTTGTCGGTCMCTTGGATTTGTGACTGTACTCTTCCGACCCAACCCTAGATTCCCGGCTCTTCAAGGTGTTTCACACCAGACAAGGTTCAGAAACCAGTTATGGCTCGTGGAAGCAAAGGGCGTTCCCTGGAAGGCTGCTGGAGCCCGTGGAAACCAGGGATGCTCTGGGGACCTCCGCAGTGGAGCTAATAGACGGTCTCATTGGCACTGGCTGGAAGGATCGTGCCTTCCTCAGGAGGAAAGGCTGTTTCTATTGTCTCTTCAAGATTCAGATGGAGAATGTCAAGCCAAGTGTGGGCCACAGGCTGKAGTAAACAAATGAGACACAGCACAAGAGGAGAATTCTAAGCAGCATTCCTTTTTTACCAGGAGAAGGGTAGGAAAACAGCAAACCCATGTTCCTCAGGGCTGAAGGTGATGTTGGGGGTTTTCCCAGGTTGGTGAGGTAACCCCAAAGTGCTCCCATGCAGGAGAATTCGTGCATGCTCTGTGAAGTAGAGAAGGTACCAGCACATCTGACATACAGAGTCTGTACATGTTTATGGGGTCAAGAGCTCTGAGACACATTTGCAGATACAATGCCAGAGGTCCTGGCTTTGACTCAAAATAAGTTAGGATGATCCAAGTCAGATGGAAGCAAAAGCATCCCAGAAAGTGAATACACAGGTGATAAAAAGCTCTTTTAGTGGAACAAAAAATCAAGTTATACTTTATATTCATTCTCACACATATACTTTATATGTGTGAGAATGAATATATCTTTTTTTTTTTTTTCTTTTGGTACGGGAGATTGAATGCAGGGATGCTTTACCATGGAGCTACATCCCCAGTCCTTTTTATTTTTTATTTAAAGACAGAGTCTCACTTAGATGTTGAGGGCCTTGCTAAATTCTGAGGCTGGCCTTGAACTTGCAATCCTCCTGCCTCAGCCTCCCAAGTCACTGGGATCATAGGCATGTGCTACAATGCCCAGCTAGAATGCATACATCTGAAGAATCCACTTAAGTTTTAAAATTTATACTCAAGTAACCCATGCCCTAATCAAGGTAGAGAACTCCAGGAAACTCTTTTCTTACACCCCTGGCCAATCCCTGCCTCATATGCTCCTAGGGATTAATCCTGCCAGGTTCAGAACTCCATGTACATGGAATCATAGAGGCGTGTCTTGTGTATGGAGTTTTGTACATTCAACATGATATTCAGCCACGTTGTCATATGTATTAGTGGTTCATTCTGCTTCATTGCTGTCATGTAGCCTATCAGATAAATGTTGCAATGTATCCATTTAACATTGATGGACATTTGTTTTTTTWWAAAAATATTTTTGATGTGTAGTTGGACACAATGCCTTTATTTTATTTACTTATTTTTTATGTGGTGCTGAGGATCAAACCCAGGGCCTTGCACATGCAAGGCGAGCGCTCTACACCTGAGCTACAACCCCAGCCCCGACATTTTTTTTTCTGGGTTTTGACTGCAGGAATAAAAGTTACAAATATTTGTGCACAACGTATTTGAAGTTATATATTTCCACTTCTCTCAGGTAAACACCTAGGAGGAGAATTTTTAGAACATAGGTAGATGTGGATTTAATTTCATTAAAAAAAAAATCAACAAAGAGTTACCCAAAGTGGTTGTACCATTTTACCTTCCCACCAGCAACATACACGAGGTTTGGATATTTTACCCTCTTGACAGCATCTGGTGTGGACAATCTCTTCAACTTAAGCCCTGGGAGGTGCACAGATTTTACTCTGTTTCATTTTTGCATTCATCTGATGAATGTGAAGAGCTTTTTTGTGSGATGCTCAGAATACAGCAGGGTATTATTACCAGGCTTAGTAATAATCACTCTGCATTTATTGAGCCCTGATTATGTTTTATGCATTAGAAACTACATGCATTCTCTGTTTTTAATCAACATAACAATCCTCAACTTAAGTATCAAGTATCCCAATATTAGTATTGCTAACTATCCACTAGTTTTACCTGGTGACAGATGAGTTTGGAAAATGTTGATAGTCTGAACAGTGATGTAAATGACAGTTCTCCAAGAAAGGAATCTACGTAGAATTTCTAAGCTTACTTAGTCGTGGAGCAACT